GCTGGCTAGCTGTATGATAACGTTAGCTAAAGCTAACCTAGCTGGCTGGCTGTATGATAACGTTAGCTAAAGCAAACCTAGCTGGCTAGCTGTATGATAACGTTAGCTAAAGCTAACCTAGCTGGTTAGCCAGTGGCGGACCGTGCATTTCATAGCTAGGCCTTCAGTAGTGCTCCGTCTGAATCAATTCACCCCTCAATAACTATTTTATGGTTATAGAAATGATCTTATTATGTAGAAATACAGTAGGGATGTCCCGATTAAGCTTTTTGTATAACAACTAAAGTTTACACAGACCTGTGGGTTAGGAGATGCTAATGCTAATGCTCGGGTGCGATCAGACTTTAAAAAAAAATGGATCTGGAGTCTGGATCGGCAGTTTCTCATGCCGGCTGATACGATCCAAATATCGGATCGGGACCAGCCTAAAATACTGTCTAAAGATCAGGGGTGCACAGGTCTTCTTCTTCTACTCCTGCAGCTACAGCTGCGATCCCCCCCCCCAAAAAAAAAAAACAAACAAACAAAAAAACATCAATAATATCCTCATAAACGCGCAATATTATTTAGGAAAATAGCAAAATTTTACTCACTTACTTTTCTTGAAAAGTCCGTTTTGAAAATGGTCTTGACAGTAAATCCGCCACCAAATAATAAAATAGCTATTACACCAACACAAATATTTCGGTTTGTTTGCTGGCTTTCCCTGATTGGATATCTGACTATCCAATCAGTGGGTGTGGATACGGTGACGTTGCTAAAGGCCTTCTAGAAGGCCCCGGCGTCACCAACCTAAAATCTGATTGGTTGAAGGAACAGCGTACTCGACATGTATTTTCTGTGGGGGGGGGCCTGCAGAACGGATTGTGAAGGCCTCCTGGCAGACATCTTTGACTTTGACTCTGCCTAGCGACAAATGATGGCTGAAATGTGATTGGTTAAATGCTTTTATATGAAAATACATGTCTGGAAGCAGCGCAACCAGGAGAAAAGCTACGAAAGGAAGTGGACAGATTTAGAGATATTTGATAAGTTTCCATGGACAAAATATAATTATCATCAGTCTGTTATTCAGATATTTTCTTAGGCCTGCAGAGAAGGCCTTAAAGGCCCTGACGGCCCACCACTGTGGCTAGCTGTATGCTACATGCTAGCATAAAGGCTCAGCTCAGGATTGACTGGAATAATAAATAATAGTAGATGAAGTGCTGTTGATGCTAATGCAGATGTAGTTTTCTGTTTTTGTAAACACCTGTATGGCCTTTCACACGTTAATATAAACAACATCTATCACACTTTTAACTGCCTTTTTTAATATACACAGTACTTGTACAAAAAAACTGAGTACTTCCGTACTTCCATTTAAGTCTGGTGTTGAAAGAATACTTCTACTTTTACTCAAGTCAAATTTTTTATATAGTAGTTGTACTTCTAGTCCAGTACTTTCTACATCTCTGGTATTAATTAAACTTCACAATAACACCAGAACAACGTAGATTTGGTCAGCTGGCATGAACCTGTTTTGATTAGGCCTCAAAATAATTAATTTAAAATCCAAATACATGTAACAGTCAAATTTAAAAAAGTCAAAATTATTTCCCAAAATATTCATAAGATATTTATAAATGTGGAAAGTATTTTTAATACATTTTCTAAATTTGTCCCTCTCGCATTTTAGAACAGATTTTAAGATGTTATTGTTTGTTTTTAAAGCTTCGAATGGTCTCTCTCCAGAGTATTTGTTTACATTTGAACTTATTATCAATTTTACATTATAGATTTTAGATTATCAATTTTATTGACAATATTATTAAATTGAATTATATAAACTTTGTTCCACTGTCGTAATTCTTTTGAGGTCAGACTGATAAAGGCGTCTTGAGTTTGATATGAGTGGTTTATTGTGGCTTTATGTGTGGCTTTCTGAGGTCGATTTGACACGTAAATTCTTTGTTTGATGGCAAAAGTGAACTCACAAAGCAGCACATCTGCTTGATGAATGCAGAAACTGCTTTCATGGACTTCCTGAACATGCAAATAGTTTCTAAACTACATGTATAATTTTCCCTCTGCAGAGGTGAAAGCAGCACGGTGTCTGTAAACCAGACTTTCAGGTTCATGTCAGCCTTTAAGATACATTTTCTTTAATAATTTCTGATCTAATCCATTGATTTTGCTGCTTTTTATCTCAGGTTTCTGTTAGCCCGATTCTTTAGTTGGAAACCTGAGAATAAACCAGAGCAGACCAAGAGTAAAAAAATTACATTTATTGGGTCACAGGTAAAGTGTATCAGCTGGGCTAACAGACAAAAAAGAGTTAGCTCTGGTCATAAACAGGCCAGGTCCTAATTCATGCAGATGACAGGAATGTGGTAACAAATGGTGTGTGTTTGTGTTGACCTAAAGTTGTGGAACAAAGAAAGAAAATGAGAGTCTGTGGACACAGACAGAGACTTCAACACAAAATATAGTTATAAAAGAAAATAAAACAATCAGTAATTTACACAGATCTTGTGATAGCATACTATGCTAAAGTGAGTATTTATAGCCAAATCCTAACAGGAGGACTGGACATAACTGAGTCCTATTGGCCAGTTCCCTCTGGGCAGGAACAGGCCAGGTCCTAATTCATGCAGATGACAGGAACGTGCTAACAAATGGTGTGTGTGTGTGTGTGTGTTGACCTAAAGGTGGATCTAATGCAACAGAGAGAGAAAAAGAGAGAAAAGAGAGTCTTTAGACAGAGACTTTAACACAAAATATAGTTATAAAGTAAAATAAAACAATCTGTAATTTACATAGATCATGTGATAGCATACTATGCTAAAATGAGTCCTGGGGGGACTCATTCTTCTTCACACTATCATTATCACTTATTTTAGATCTGTACATAGACATATAGTTACATATGTACAGTATATATTTATTTATATTTTTGTGTGGAATGTTGTATATATCTACAGTGGGGGAAATAAGTATTTGAGCCCTTGCTGATTTTGCAGGTTTGCCCACTTACAAAG